TATTATATATTATATTATTACTATATAATACAATAATAATAATACAATAATGAAATAATAATAATATTATATTATTATTATGTATTTATATTATATAATACAATAATAAAATAATAATATTATTATATTATTATTATATATTATATCATTATTATATAAAACAATAATAAAATAATAATAATATCTTATTATTATTATATATTATATTATGTGTTATATATTATTATATTATATATTAGATTATTATTATATATTATATTATTATTATATTATTTGTTATATATTATATTATTATTATATTATTATTATATATTATATTATTATTATACAACATGATGATATTGATATCATACTGAGAAAATGGCAACCCAATCACTCCCTAACCAGATGTCCGAGATGAATTACGATGAGGTCACTCATTCAGTCTGTTTGAGTGGCTCTCCCGAAGAGGGCAACACCTTCAAGTACGACTCCTGCTACCCACAGAAGCTCTCTCTCTTCAACACGTCAATCATCACAAACATCAACAAATTTTTCAACAGCAGCAACAGCAACAACAGCAACAACGTCAACAGCCCAACAAAATTGGCACAACCGCGCAACAAACGCGCCACCAACAGACACAAAAACGCCTCTCGCTTCCGAACCCAGCCAATCACGTTCGACGAAATAACGGAAGTCGACGAAGAGGTGATTACGTCATCGTCGTCGTCAGGAGGAACCGCGATGTTCCCATCGTCGTCATCACCATCGTCATCACTGTGGAAGTCTGGTGATGCTAGATTTTCAAGATCGCTGGACGGCAACAGCATGTTATATCATCTTCCTCCTCATCATCAACCTCTCAGCCACCACCATCATCACCTTCTTCTTCATCGTCCCTGCCAGCTCAATCAGGCTGAATGCAGGAATGGAAAATATGCAAATAATGATGATGAAATGAGCCGCGCACAACAGCCCAGCAACTCTAACGACGGGCATGATAATAGTTTCGAGAAAGAAAACGCACCATCATCATCACCACCACCATCATCATCATCATCACCACCATCATCATCACCATCATCATTGTCGTCGTCCACGTTGGCATCATCGCATGACCAGATGAGAATGAGGAGAATGATGATGATGATGAAAAAGAGAGGGTCCATGGTGGAAGAGGTGTTGAGTGAAATGGTGGAGGGAGAGTGATGATGAGGATGATGATAATGATGATGATAATGATGGTGATAATGATGGGGAAAATGATGATGGTGATGATGGTAATCGTAGATACATGTGCTACTCATAACAAAATTAATAACAAAGTTTCCCATTATCATTCTTCAGGCTGGGTGCTTGTGTGGAACAATATCGATAAATCATTATATGTAATTAAATATTTTTATTTTTTTATTTTTGTCAATAACATTGCAATAGTCAAGATGCTATTATATAAATATATATGTAATTGTGTGTGTGTGTGTTGTATGCGTGTGTGTGTATGTGTGTGTACTTGTGCGTGTGTGTAATCTCAAAATGTACCGGCTCTGTTTTTGTTCAGTACTACGCAGAGAGCACATAAAACACACACACATATACACACACACACACATACACGCATACACACATACATAAACACGCACCATCGTGTAATAAAACTGAATATTCTGGGTTAATTGGTCATTTAAATTGTCGTCATGCTACGTGATATTTGTGTGTGCGTGTGTGTGTGTGTGTGTGTGTCTCTCTTCATTCTAATTGCTTCATTCATGTATTAATGTTTGTACTTATAGAGTATAAATAATTGAATCAAATAAAAAAAAGGTTTTTTTGTCATCTATCAAAAATCAGATGTTTGTGTGTGTGTGTTTGTGTGTATATGTGTGTGTGTGTGTATGTGGTGTGTGTGTGTGATGATAATGAGATGCTGATGATGAAGAAGAATAAGAAGAAGAAGAAGAAAAAGAAGAAAAAGAAGAAAAAAAAAACAAGAAGAAGAAGAAGACGGTGATGGCGATGATGCAACACCACAATCAAATGAACATCATCATTGCGATTATACAGACGTTGATAGAAGCGTTAATAATTAATTAATTCGATATGTCAGGACTTTTGACGTGTATTTAAATATATATACATATATACATATATATACTCTATGATATAATAAAGATATGATACATCAAAGATTTCATGATATACTTCATGATTCAAACACGGCCAGTGAGAGCCATATTGAGAGGAGGCCCTGGATTAATAACAAGTTGCTCTACTACGAGCCAGATGTTTCCATTTATTTTGCAATAGGGAAGAGGGCTGAAATCCAACAGAACTTTTACGTTGGCGTTTCATTAAAAAGGTTTCTAAGATATTGCATGGAGTAGTTTGCTGCCGAAATTTTTTCATAGGCCACTTCAATTTCATTTCGGAGGCCCCTTAAACTTGGGGGCCCATGTTTGTTAATAATTAAATAATTAAGCAGTAATTTAATCTCCCCCGGTTCCACTTTTTTGGTCTTATATCTAATGTGTATCATTTTATAAAACAAACTTGCATGCTAACTCTACCATGTTGCTGTATGTTTATAAATTAGAGTTATATCTAAGGATATATATATATATATATATATATATATAAGGATATATATAGATACATATGTGTATTAATGTAATATAAACATATATAGATATATAGTTTCGTGTGTATATTGTTATAATTAAACTGATTAATTTATCTATCTAATTTATTTTAATTATGACATATTAAATGATAATAACCCAGCTTAAATACTAATTAAATTATTCACGTAATAAAAGAATCTATTTTTTTTAGCAATTTTACTGGCAAAGAACAATATGAATTTTATTGGCTATGTAAAAAAGAACAAAAATCAACAGGCCTTCGTTTGTAAGAGCAAAAATAAGGTTCATAGAAAGTTTATTATTCACATTTCATCATTAAATTACTGCTTAATTATTTAATTATTAACTATTTTCTCAAAAATCTTCTAAAAATTGCGAACATGTGCTTTTTAATAATTCATGTTTTATGGGTGAGGTTTTTCAGAATTGTGGGTGTTATTAAATAAATTTTTGAAATCTACACAAGCAGATCAGAAAAAAAATTTCAATATGACTTTGTAAAAAGTTTAAAATTAAATTTTTATCTGAATTTCGGGAGTATTTTTATCGTGTTTTAAAGTCTTGTGTACAGTTGTCAATTGACAATTTTTTATTTTACTCACTAGTGTACAAACTTATTTTTGTTTAATTAAATGTTAACATTAAGATTTTGGCTAGAATTACTTAGTTAATATAAATAATATTATTAAATTACATTACAACGTTTATTTGTATTTTTGTAAAATTGTATAAAAAATATAAACGTTTAAACGACACCTTTAATTGTATCCTGCAACTTAATAGCCTTTATAAAGGAATGATTGCATACACGTGGTGTACATGCTTCGGCTGTACATATACTAAAATTGGAACGATACAGAGAAGATTAGCATGGCCCCTGCGCAAGGATGACACGCAAATTCGTGAAGCGTTCCATATTTTTTGCGTTTTTTACCCACTTATACGACGAAATCTCATACCAAATTCATTCAGGTTTTCCTTTTTTCAGCCAGTTACTGCATTTACGCTTTTTACGTTAAGATGTCCGAGTAAATTATATATAAGTTTGATATAATTTTATTAAAATGTTAC